AGGGTGTGCTAACTTTTTCCTCAGTTGGAATAGGCATTTTTGTAGAATTACATTTACAGAAGATCTTGAAAAGACTTTTCTTCAGTTTTACTTGTTTAGTTGTATTACTTTAATCTCTCTGTATTGTTAAAATTGAGATTAAATAACCATATATTAAAACATGTTACAAAATACACATGCTTTCAAAGGGTGTCCTAATTTTTTCACATGACTGTATTTAAACACTTTACTACATTTTCCAAATTCAATGCCAAATGAGGAAGGTGTGTGTGCTCTTCCATAAAGATAAAGCCACTACACAGGTGAATGTCCTAGTGATTGCGACTGAGAGTCAAACGTATAATTCTGTTACAAAAGGTAATCAACAAGCAAACCTGATGTAGGCAATTAAACACATTAGTCCATCTAAGTTCAGCTAAGAATATCAGCAAGGCAATTTAATTTGTATCCTGTGTAGCCATGTACTTGTGGTTTTGATACTCACAGCAAACTTTCTAGTGCCAAATCTCCTCTCAAAAATTCGGAAGTTGTAAATGAGCAGGCTGCTACAGAAGGAGTCCTTCACATCGAGGCAGACAAGCCTGCCACACAACAACCTCCACACCTAAAGCATGAGTGAGAGCGCAATTATTCACACATATTATGGATACACACTGTTTTGACCAAGATACACTAACTTTCAGTACCTCATCTTTTGTTGGAATGGGTCTAAGCCAAAGTGAATCCATGTGGTTTTGAAAAACTATTGATGGTTAATATTTTTTGTTGTTTAAAATGGGACAGTTTCATAAATAGCAGAACAATGTGGCACTCAGAGACAGATGGACACTATCTGAAGATAGTGGGTTTTGGTCTTAGCCTCTTAGCTGTGTGTCAGGCAAACACAAACATACCTGGTTCTGCTGTATGACAGCCTGTATGTTGTACACAAATAGTTCTTGGTACTGTGGCAGCAGGGACAGCAACACAGCCAGCCCATTGAGAACCAGCAGGAGGCCTTTAGACAGAGGAGCCTTGTCTGTACCAAACAACAGTGGTGGAAAGTACATCACTCAAGTACCATAGTTTAGATTTGAGCAATTTATACTTCAGTCTTTTTTTTCCATGCCACTTTACAGTATACTTCTACATGGAAATACTGTACTTTTTACTCCACTACATTTATCTGACAGTTTTAGTTTACTTTACTTTAAGATTTTACAAAGAAAATATAATTTTTTAAACCAACAGATCCATAAAAAATGATACATTAGTTCGCAATAACACAATCATTAGTTGTATAGAACAGTTCAACTGAGTTCCAGCTTAACCAACAACAACTCTGAAATAATGTTTATTGTAATACACAGTATAACACTCACAGGGGACATTTTTCTGCTTTGGGTACTTTTACTTTTAATAGTTTAGGTACAGTTTCCTGGTTATAGTTACATAGGTTTACTTAAGTTCCATTTCCAACACAAACGTTTTACTTGCAATAGAGTACTTTACAGAGTCGTATTAGTACTTTTACAAAACGATTTTCCCCCCAAAATCATCTGAATACTTCCTCCATCACCGAATAACACACGCACAAGCTTTACGACAAGACACCGACGCCTTCTTCCTTGCATGTGTTGATATAAATATTAGACAAGGGTTTCGGTGATGGTGAAGAGAGGAGCATGCAAACAATCTGCCTTTATACAGCACCTTTCTAAACATTAGTTACAAAGTGCTACAAATAAAAACTAAACAAACAGAAGCTGATATTTTGTACAGGCTACAAAGTTAGAGGCGGGGCAGACACATATCCTTTAACGTTTACCCAGATTTAGCTGGATATTCAGAACAAACCGTTTCCACAAATTTAGGTAACACACTTTAGCTGAGTCAACCAACTAAATGGATACGCAAAACGTAGATCACCTAAAAGGAGCTGTAACTGATAGATACAGTCCTAATACAACGTAGAATAAAATGAATGACAGCGCAATGCTAACATCAGTTAGCTAAACTAGCCATTACCGTTGAAATTGACAAGAGAAGCGTTGAGACGACTGCGACACCCGGGCTACGGTTTAACTACGGGTCGGGAATACTTACAGAAGCCTCGAGAGCCGGTGGTAGTAAACATGGTACTTGGGTGGGTTATTAGATCCAGAAGAACACGGATAAATCCCAAGGCAACACAAAGTGAATACTAGGAAGCCGAAACAAAGTTGGATAGCGGATCCATGCTGGAAGGAAGGAGAGAAAGGAAGAAAAGGGAACCTCCTACAGAAGCCCGACAAGCCCAAAAAGTAGTTTACTCGCAGTTATATGAAAAAAGGAACGATGTGACCAGTTGGGGGCGCTGTTAGTCTGACTAATGACTACATTCCTAAATATTTGTCCTAATAAACTTACTCGAACACTGCATTTCAATGCACCACAGGTATCCAATACTGACAAAACAACATAGAATGCAGAATATCAGTAAGTTATTTGAGATATTTTTTGAAGGCAATTAAATATTCACAATTTTGTTTTTCAAGAATTTATTTTTACTAATGTCTTTTACAATTACAAATACTGAACATTTTATGAACAAAAACTAACAAATAACGATTTAACAAAAATGGGAAATGAATTGATGTCTGCACTGATAAACTGCTACCACTATACTAATCGGTGGTGGAAGAATAAGCCCTAAGAAAATAAAAATGTAATCACTAATTTAGCAGAATGGTCTATTTCCCGATAATGTATATTAGTAGATTATAATAACTGATATGTTAATGTGTACTTCACTGCTGGTAGAGCTGGGGCTAATTTTAATTGTTTTACATATTAATTACCAAGTGAATTCTCCCCTGGGGCTCAATAAAGTGTTATTGATATAATTATACCATAAGTTGCTTGTTGATTATAATATGTATTATTAATCTGATTCTGCATGCTAACTATTGACTAAAGTATATCAAATAAATGCAGTAGAAAATTTTTTTACAAACTTTGCCTTTCGATTGTGGTGAGGCAGAAAATGGAAATAAGCAATATAGCTACAAGTACGTCAAAATTGTACTTAAGTACAGTGCTTGAGTAAATGTACTTACTTACTTTTCACTGCTATTACTAATAATACAAGAACATGTTAAAAGAAGGCCTAAAAATAAAAATAAATTTGTATTACTAAAGTAAAGATAAAACAATTTTTAAGCACAGTGGTGAGATCAGGGTCACCTGTATATTTTATCTGCCTGGTGACCACTAAGAGGTCCGTTCCCCAGGTTGTGAACCACTGATCTAATGGTTGCAGCACCCTTATAGCTGAAATTTAGACTCTTGCTCACAGACATTTCAGCAGGGTGGACACTGTAGCTGGATGATTGCCCCAATCAAGGGCAGTCTCCATGATGCCACCCTGCTATATCTTGTGCACCTCAGACAGGACACTTCCAGGACGTGAAGCAATGGTCTAATCATCTTTGATCTTCAGCCTTGTCATGTATGACTATTTGTCAGCATGTAATACAGTATGTGCTAATGGGTTGGATATGCATAAACAGAGTAGGGAGTATTTCACATCTTGAAAACATGTGGTCAGTTTACTGATAGTGTTAATAGCTATAATTATAATATAGTTATAATTATCCTCAGGACTTAAGCAGGATGTAGCAGCACAAAGTCCAGTTTAATTACTTTTTCTTATGGTCTTCTGGACTTATGCACATTGTGTCATATCTTGTCAACGTCCATACTTCCTTTGTAAAGGTACTGCTTTGTCTTATGGTGCAGGCTGCCAGTTTTATTCACATCAAACACTGTGTATACCTTCATGGCTGGCTGTGATTGCTCTTGTGCCAATTGATCCAATCCTTATGTTATGTCCAAGTACATTTGAAAAGATATGGCGAACAGCTGTCTAATAGTGTTGCATTTCCCCATCATCCACAGATGCAGTAGTGTGTTAGTTCCCATTGGTTAGTTCCTGCCCATTAGGTCTATCTGGCTGCCTGTGGTCAGATGTGACTGCTAAGCAGAGCTCAGGAACAGCTTGCTAATTGTGTTTCAGACCTTCTCTGTCACTGATGTAGGAGTGAGGTCTAAAAAGGTTGCTTTGCCCCTGTTCTCAATCAAAGATAATCAGATTAAACAGTGCAGAGATGTGTGTATGTGTGTATTTGTGTGTGCTTACCAATAAAAAGACTCCAGGTTTGGAGACAGCCTTGACTCCTGCTGTTTGCTTTGTTCATTAAGAGGAGATGAGCAGATGGTTTGTTGGTCTGTTCTGCACTACACACATGCAGGCACACACACACAGAAACACACATTCATGCAAATACACATACACACATGCATTCTCAGTCCTGTCACCTTAGCTTTATCCTCCATTTATCTTTTCCATTACACATCTCTCGGCAGTACAATGATACCCGGTGAGGGATGTGTATGTGTGTGTCTGAGTATGTGTGTGTGTGTGTGAGTGAGATACAAGGGAGCGTGAAAGAGTAGAGTGGTGTTGAATGAAGTCACAAACCTTTCTAGTCAAGGCAGTCTCTGAGGTGGTCATCTGAAAAGCTGATGACTCATTCACACATTCATTTATGTGAGTCATTGCTATTCACTTGTCAGCTACTCTGTATTCAGAAAGAATTGCTAGTGAACAGAGGTATTGTTTTAGTCCTGCATCACAGCTTATCTGCCTGTGTCCAGGAAATGGCACACTGCACATTTAGACAAGGTTGTATAAGCAAAATCTAGCCAAAGAATGTTTTGGCACAACACATTTGTTCAGAACATGAAATATATTATTTTAGGACTAAAACTTAATATTGCTTGCCAGTGAGCATCCTGCCTCTCCTAGGGGAAATTATCTGCTTCAAATATATTCAACAGCATTTTTGATCACTGACCCCTCACATAATTTATTACATAGTCCTCTCTTTAACCTCTGAATTAGTTGTGGACATGTAGTTTTGCGTGTCTAGAGTCACATACTGTTTTACTGGCACAGAACAGTCCTGACTTCAGTTTATGATGTTTTCAAATATCTCTTATACAGACATACTTTTTTTTTTTTACATATAAGCGGAGCTATAATTGATTTATATTTCATTTACAGGGCTTCAATCCAAAATGTGCTGGAAGACATTATTCATTAGTTTAATTAGAAATAGTTCCTTATCCTGCTGTGCTAATATTTAGATTACTAAACAATAATTTTCACACTACTACTCTCTATACTAGTCTTTTACCTTTTCTCTGTCTCCTTCTTGTGTTGTCTTTATATAGCAGGGGTTTTATCTAACTGTGACCCAACAACCGCCATTCTGACTAAGAAGTAACCCGAGGACCACTGCTGTGGGGCGGCTACACCAGAGTGGCACAGTTTTAATTCTGAAAGTCACTGTGGCTTTTCACCCATTCTGTGGAGTTAACCAAAAATGTGCTCTGAACTATTTATCGACACCAGTTTTACCTTATCTGTGCTGAGGAGGAAACATAATAAAAGTGAGCGATAGTGCATCGTCAACATGTTTCACTAAAGGACAGCTTACATGTGACTACCTTGTTGTCTGTCAATAGTTCAATAGTTACGTGCATGTTTTTGGAGATGGCGCAAGAATCAATCTCACATCACTCCCCACAACCTTATATATGTATAGACATGCAAGCATATGGATCTCCCCCTCATCCACACACAAAACAAATCTCAAGGCTTTACTGTATCACAGATGTGGAACAATATTGTTGGGTACAAAAAAAAAACTATAATATAAATCCACATTTCAAGTAGGTGCAATGTATTACTGAGAAATCAATAAAACTATCTATTCACATAAAACAATTAAATGTGATGCATTCAGAGGCTTAAAAAAGAAAGAAGCACTAACACAATTTAATAAAAAGGATTTGTATTGTTTGTGTTGTCAAACTGCACTACTGCATAACATACACAATACAAGCCATTTACTGACTGTACAACATGCCATTATGCTTTTTGATAATAATAATAATAACAAAAATGAGGACTATATATATGTACACAACTCTGTTACAAGTTATATGCATCACTTGTGTCCAGATAAACAGCACTGACAGAAAACAACTATGGTCATTTTCATTTAGGACCTAAAAACCTTGATTGAAAGAAACACAGTCAAACACATCATCAGAATAAAGTACTATTCCCACTACAGCTGAGATTCTGTGATAAATGCAATAAATTAAACAAGAGAACAATAAAAAAAAGTTCAAATGTCACCCTTGATACGTAGCAGAGTCCTTTTGAGGAGATGGAGGCAGGAATCTCGGATGCTACCGTGCAACCGAGCATGCCTGTTGATCGTTTTTCTCAAAAATGAGAAAACCTGATCGCTCTTTTCTTCCATCCATTCATTTGTCCATCCATCGATCTTTTCGCCTAATACATCCCAGTGGTCTGCAGGAACACTCTGCCCTCTGAAATCCACAAAGAAATCTCAACTAATGAAAGAGAAAACTATACATATTAAACTTTCTTTTTAAAGTTGTAATTTGATTCTTCTGTAACTGTAAAAGTAGGAGGAAGAATGTTGCATGCAACTAATTCATTCATATAAATATTGAAGCCAAAAATCATTAATAAAAGATCATTATTAAGAACGGCTCAGTTGAAAGTGTTTTTCGGCCTCCGATCCCTGTTTTTGGCGATAAAACTTCCTGGCACAAAGGAGCCACATCCTGCCCTGCTGTCTGACAGACAATACCCCTTTAAATGATTTATTACTGGGTGTTAATTATGCAAATGATGTCCAAACAAACTCGTCATGAGGACAATTAAGACAGCCGTTAATTAGTGGCCAGTTCTCTTCTTGCTTCACTGACATTCAATTAAAAACTGCCTTTGAACAAGCACACTGTCTGGTATGGTGGTCCTGGCATGGCATGGAGCAGAGATGGGTTGGAATCACGAACTCTTCTGATGAGGCCGGGCTACAGATCATGGCCATTTCTTTTTCTTTCTGAGATGTTACATGTGAGAGTCTCTCAATAATCTATCCCGGTGAAGACAGTGATGTTGGCAAAATAAATATATTAAACGCCTGTCTCCAATAAAACTGTAGCCCCAGTGAACTGCCTTGTGCTTCATTTAATTTGCTTCAGTTTCTCAGAAGCAGTCTCCCTGTGAAATCTTTGAAAACACTTCCAGCAGACAGGTCAGTTAAGCATCAAAAGCAATGAGTAGGTGAAATAATGAAATCTGTTGTCCTAGCTCAGTTGAGTTTAAAAAAATCTCCACCATTAAGTATTTAGATTTTTGTTTCACACTTCTTGTACTGAAATGGCATTTTTAGCAGTTGCCACTAATAATAATTAAATTATTCCCACAAACTTAGTCCACTGCCTTTACAAATGCTGATACACATATAAACAAGTTCATTCTTTTTTTTTAGAGAGAGAGAAATATATGCAAGACATCACAAGCTCACACAGCCGGTGTCACTCATTTCATCGGGAACCGCTTAAAAACTTTCAAGTGTAATGCTATCACTTAAAATGCACATTTCTGCTTTTTACACTTTATTTAAACTCTGTTCTTAGACAACATAGCCCAGCACACAATTAAAATAATAACATGAAATTTCAAAATTCTATAATGAGGTTGTTTGTCTCAATTTCCTTTAAGTTGTTATTTGGTGACAGACTGTTTTAGCACTGACAGCAGCTTCTCTGTTTAATGACTGTGTGAATGGAACATTTTTAATAAGCCAGACTATGAAGCAGTTTTCACAGCTACACACTGAGGAAGCGATATTTGTTTTCTGGAAACTGGTACCTTGTACTGTCGCCTTGGTGTCCAGCCTGTTGTCATCATGGTTGCTCCCATCCACATCCTGGGTCACAGATTCTGTGTGAGGAGGGGCTGCTGATGATTGATGGGCTGTAGTTTGGTCATTAATTAATAAAGACACTTAATTAGAGGCTAATGAACAGTCAAGGCTATGTTGCACCAAAGGCTGGTGACATTTAATATGAAAATGAGAATGCCGCTACATGGCTACAAACTGCGTAATTATGAGCCAAAACAGAAATAGGGAAGCCGTGACAATTTTTAAACAACTTCTTTGAGTGTATGTGTTAATCTGTCTGCCAGTGTACCTGTGTGTGTGTTGGCAGTGTGTAGCAGGCTGTGCTCTGCCTGATCACGAAGTTTGACCTCTTCCTCCAAGGCCTCCTGTAGTCTTCTCTTACTCCTCTTTTCCTTTTTCAGGCGCTTTTGGATCAGAACTGCACAGAGAAGGAGAAGAAGAAAACAAGACAACAGGTGTCAAAACGTATGTGTTTACATGTAAATCATATTATACCGATGATATTTTTATGCTTCACTTCAACTGCATGTGTTGTAAGAATTTGTTTATTATATTTCTGTGGTCTTCCTGCTTCCTGACCTTCACTGATCTTTACATGAAGAGATTTAAGAGACTTTGAAGGTATTGTGAGCTTGGACTGTTTGTTGTGCTATGGTTTGAATGAGATCTTAATTTCTTGGTAATAGTAAGTGAGGCCAATTAAACTGTGTTCACAGAGGACGTCTGTGACAAAAATGAGATATTGCTGCTGGTCTGAATGATCAAAAGCCTATTACTCCCCCCGTGCACCGTCCCTTTAATGTCACCTTCCACCACAACTTCTCCATCTGGTGTGACCTTGTCAAGGAAACTGTCCTTGACTGGAATGTGCTCTCACTTCGCTGTAGTATATGACAGCTTTTGTGAACATGCCAAACTTGATTTAGTTTGTAGCACACTGCCAACCTCAGTCTAATTCACCTCTGCAGATGCTTTAAGGAGTAACATGCAGTAGGTGTCCTCACTTCATTATCAGATATTCAAGTTACTGGATGTCCAGTCAGCATAGAAGTGTATCAGACCAAATTTAACACTTAAAGGTTTTGAATAATAGCTCTATAAGAGAGTATAACAACACTAGAATAAACTGTACGTGATACTACCTCTGTTTTTCTGTTCCATGCTAAGCTGTCTCTCCAAGGTCTCTCTGAGCTCCCTCTCTCGGACCAACTCCATCTTTAGCTCCGTCCTCTCCAGCTGGTCCTGTTTCTCCTGTGCTCGGGCATTCTCTATGGCAACCCTCAGCAGACCCTGCTTGGAGACACACAGGCACACACCAACAGGTTACACACTGAACAAAAGTCAGGAGAGACATCTGTCTTCATACATTTAATAAAGCACCAGAGAGAACCCTTACTCCACCTATTCACCTAACCTTTTATCAAAAATGGTATGTTTGAAATTCAAATTTAACTTAAAAATTATGTAAACATGATAAAACTATCACAAATAATTTGGCTCTTCTTCAGGAAATGTTTAGGTCTAAGGTTTCACTGAGGTGCATAATTCCTTGCAGGAAAAAGATTTTTAACCTCATGAAATCAATTCTAATGGTTTAACTTCCATCATATCAGAGACAAATGAGGCTAAAAACCTGTTGTTGTGTCCTGTGAAAATCCAATCAGTGAGTGCTTTCACTGTGACTGTGCCATAACAAAGACATATTATATCTGAGAAGCAGGTCAGCACAAGCCCATCCCAATTACTGCATATCCTTAATGTCTGCCTTGTCTGCTATTTACCATTTCAGGAAATCCCAAAGAGTGGCTCATCGCCCTTCCTATTCATCTCATAGTATAATAATAATAAAGCCCCACCAGAGCCTCACCTGGATGTTTGTGAGCAGGGTCTCTATGGAGGACAAGCCTTCCGGGAAGATAAAGGGAGTGTGGTGGAGCCCTGCTGGGAGCTTCTGTCCTGCAGGGTAAGATACCTTCTCACAGACCTCCCTGCCTGATGTGGGTTTCTGGTAGACCTGTTTATCACAGCTCTCCCTGGTTGTCTGAGTGGCCAAGGAGCTGCTATCTGGAGGGCAGAGAAATATTTTGATGTCTAGTCAGTAAGACTAACACACTCCCGTCTGTATCAGACTGAACACACAATTTACTTGGTCTGCTTCCTCACTGCAGACCCTCTTAAGGAGTAACCAACAATAGATAGCTTCATTATGTGAAGCAAAGACATTTGTCATAACATGCTTATAATTTATGTTTCATAAATTATATAAGACCTTGATATTGAGTGTGAAACTTTTGTCAAGCTGACAAAAAATGTTAACTCTCAAGGTGCAGCACATTTTACATGGCATATATAGACTTTAATGACTTGGTTCAGGAATTATATTCAGCGTGGGGCTGGAAGTCGCCTGGTACAATCAGTTGTCCTTGTAACTGCACTGTAGCTATAGTATGTAGCTACTGTGCTTCACAGTTCTGTCTAAATAAATATGTCACAGTGTGACAGCTTACATTTACATACATCTGTATATATTTTTGTAAATTAGAGGATTCAGATCTAATAAAAGACAAACTAGTAGACTAAATAGGACTGATTAATATATATTTTTTTGCAAGGATTATGATGTTATGTTTGCTTAAAACCTGCAAACACATCACCACTCCAGCAACATTTTGTATTCAGTGTTGATAGCAAACTTCCATAATTTGTTTACTAATTCATTTACTTAATTTCTTGTAAACATATCAAGTCCAACAGCAATTAGGTGTTTACACTAATTATTGTGTGTGCAAGTGCGTGTGCACATACACAGAAGTCCTGGTTTGGGGTTTTGAAAATGTGGTTACCCTTTATTAGATGGCACTCTGCCTATTGATAATGCATCACAGCTTGACATCTCCCATAAAACAACTAAGAAGCTGCATTATGGATGACCATCTGTTTGTAAACCTGAGAACTGCATGTTCCCGACTCGTGACAGTGAGGGAGACGAAGATTAGCCATTTCTGCATCAGGCAGTTGCTCACTTTATGTGCTCACTGTCATCCGAGCCACTGAGGACGAAGATGTCCTGCGAGTCTGGCGGTTATTGGAGCAGAGAAGTGTGCGAACGTGCGATGTGATATCTGGCACTTTTCTCTGTCTGTGACAAATGACAGTGTTTTCTCTACTTAGCTGACCACAGCATCTTCTGCTCCAACTCCACCCACCTTCCCTACTTCGCCTCGGCCTCACGTCTTGGCAACTGTCACATTCAAGGTGTTTCACAGAGGAGAAGCAATACCAAGCCCCCCCTCCCCAACCTCCCTCCCGTTCTCCCTCTTTCTTGCTAAAAGCAGTGCTCTGTAGAGAAAGGTAATTAGCAGGTGCTGGCGAGCTCAGCGGAGGGCATCCAACTACACTCCTGTGGCTCACATTCAGACACACACACACACACACACACACACTCGTAGCTGCTGAAGTGCACAGTCAGCAGCGTGGGCTCCCCAGGCTCCTTGGATGTGACTGATCCTTTATTGAGTTACTGTTTTACGCCTACTTTACCTCACATTCACACACACACGTTTGCAATAAATACACACACACACACACACACACACACGGCTGCCAGCTCGTTTGATCATTTACCCATCTCCCTAACCAAGGTCACTGTCTGTTTTTCTCTTTTCTCCCAACTTCATCTCTCTTTTCCCCCTCTCTTACTCCTCTCCCACCCATCCCCAGGGCTAATGAACTTCACCACGTGAAGACTGCCAGTCAGCGGAAGAGAACAGGAGAGAGGGAGGGGAGAGAGACAGAGAGAGAATAAAATTCTGCTGATGGTTGGTTAATGGGAGAGAGGTGTCAGGGATGGCCTCTGATCTTTGCTGCATGGATACGTTGTTCAAAGACCACTGAAACAGCGCACACAGCCAAAACTGACTCTCATACACACACATTTAGAGATTATCATACAAAGGATTGACAGAATGACAGGGCTGAAGTGCTCTTTGAAACTCTGTTCAATCCATGACAAACAATTCCATGATGCTCTAGGTCAAATACAAAAGCCTGCAATCCAGCAAATGTACATGTTTCATTTGCATGCAGGAAAATCAATTGAAAATCAATTGCATAAATGTGATGTGTGATGCATGGCATTCATGTTGTTGGTGCCATCACTGTTTTGTCAATATATTCACAGACACCTGACAGCATCTGAAACCTTACCTGGGAGGCCTTTGTGAGTTTTAGATTCGATTACTGAATAATGTGATTCAGTATTAGAATACATTTACACAGGCGCGTGCACATACATACAAACTCTCTGTTTCTCTCCTGGTCTCTCGCTCTCTGTAGATTTCTGCTGACTGTTTGTCCTTGAGCAGTCCTCATTAAGCTAATGCAAACCTCCCTGACAGAGAGAACCAAACAACTGACGTTGCAGCACCGTGGCAACACAGGTCCTAACGACAGGGAGGTGGTCATTATGCAGATGAGGTCCAGCTGAGAGCACGGGAGGCCGCCTGGCTCGTTAGGCCGCGGCCCGGCAAATGGCTCGCTAATGTAACATCGCTTCCTGGTCTAATGGAGCCCTGTTTTGCAGAATTATTTGTCTTTGCTCTCCATGGGAAGCCAGTGGGGCCACCGACAGCGAGGAGGAGAGGAGGACGAGAGCAGGAAGAGAGAAGGGATGAGACAGTGAATCCTTATCGACCTGTTATTCAGATATTTTCCTCTTGTCAAACCATTTCTCTTGTAAATAAATAGTGTTAAATAAGCTGTCACACAGTTGCCAAAAGTGTTTAAATCCATAAATGATGGCACAGATGGATAGACTGGATGGAAACTCAATTTTTATTGTAATGTACTGACAGACTAACATGTATTGATTGTCTGACAAATAATCATTAGTTATTAATAATCATTAAATGATTAACAACTGTTACAAGAAATTCTCAGAAAAGAGCAAGAACTTGACCTTTGGCATCAAGTTGATGCTGAATGTAATAAATTTCTGAGACAATTCACAGTAAGACTATCCATCTATCCATTATCTATACCACTTATCCTGATGAGGGTCACCGGGGGTCTGGAACATATCCCAGCTGTCATTGGGCGAGAGGCTGGGTACACCCTGGACAGGTCACCAGTCTATCACAGGGCTGACACTTAGAGACAGACAACCACACACACTGACAATCACTCACTCACTCACTCCTACAAGGCAATTTAGAGCCACCAATCAGCCCTAAGCGGCATGCCTTTGTACTGTGGAAGGAAGCCGGATAGAACCCACACAAGCACAAGGAGATTATGCAAACTCCAGACAGAAAGGCCCCTTGTCGGTCGGGGCGCAAACTCAGAACCTTCTTGCCGTGAAGTGACAGTGCTAACCACTGTGTCACCATGCCATCCACAGTAAGACTAAAGATGTCTAAATACAAGATGAATGTTAGATAGTGACAACATTTGTTTTTTTTAAACAGCAGAGCTCTGCTAAAACTGGAGCCAATGCTGACCCAAGCTGTACAAACATAATAGTGTATCTTGCCTCTGTCAGAGTGGCTCCTCTTGCTTTCCTTGCTGTATTCCACTGAAGTCACATCTGTCTCTCTGCCCCCCTGCACCACACCAGGGGAATGTCCCAACACGCTTGATGACAGGTTTTCATGGAGTGGGTCTGGAAAGCAAATTAAAAAGTCAAATGATAATAAACTCCTCGTACTGTAGGTACCCCCAGTTTCTGTGAGACTACCTACAGTGTGCCGTACCATGCAGTGTCCAGATCACACAGGTACAGTCGGTACGGAAAGTATTTTTCACTCTTTGTTATATTGCACCCATATGCTAAAATCATTTAAGTTCATTTTTTTCCTCATTAATGTACACACAGCACCCCATATTGACAGAAAAACACAGAATTTTTGACATTTTTGCAGATTTATTAAAAAAGAAAAACTGAAATATCACATGGTCATAAGTATTCAGACCCTTTGCTCAGTATTTAGTAGAAGCACCCTTTTGAGCTAATACAGCCATGAGTCTTTTTGGGAATGATGCAACAAGTTTTCACACCTGCATTTGGGGATCCTCTGCCATTCCTCCTTGCAGATCCCCTCCAGTTCTGTCAGGTTGGATGGTCAACGTTGGTGGACAGCCATTTTCAGGTCTCTCCAGAGATGCTCAATTGGGTTTAAGTCAGGGCTCTGGCTGGGCCATTCAAGAACAGTCACGAAGTTGTTGTGAAGC